AGCAAATTATTAAAAAATTACGCCATTGTACTCGCCATTGTGGCTAATAGTACCATTCAGATATTTAAAATTATTTTTTTAAGGTGTATTCAATATTCCATGGACATCCACTAAATATATCAAAGTCTAGGCGCGAACGCAAACCATCGTGGATATCCACTAGATGTAATTTTTGATTTTGCTTACTTAAGTATAGATGGCGATACTACTTTCGCATCTACTCATGCTCAACCCGCCGTAATTGAGTTCGATCGAAATTTGTTTCACAATCAGATTCCATTAGAGACTGGAATCGAGAATTTCCATTTATTGCTGAAGAGTCCTAATAAGGATAACTTTCTACTTAGTGGGCAAAATCAAAGGCAGAGTGTTGAAAATATTTTGAGTGTTGAAAATATTTTTTATCTCTGCTATTTTCTTTCGACTTTATTCAATAATCATTGGTTATTTATGAACCTCTACTAAATATACCTATAAAATACGGCATAAATTAAATGATCATTATTTAAATTTTATGGCAAGTACACTTTTCCATTATTTTATTTCAGTTGGTCAGTAAGATAATAAATGGTCATTGAAAATAATAAATGGTCAGTATAATATTAAATGGTCGGTGAAAATATTAAATGGTCAGTATAATAATAAATGGTCGGTAAAAATAATAAATGGTCAGTAAAAATAATAAATGGTCGGTAAAAATAATAAATGGTCAGTAAAAATAATAAATGGTCAGTAAAAATAATAAATGGTCAGTAAAAATAATAAATGGTCAGTAAAAATAATAAATGGTCAGTAAAAATAATAAATGGTCAGTAAAAATAATAAATGGTCAGTATAATATTAAATGGTCGGTGAAAATAATAAATGGTCAGTATAATAATACGCGTTTTATTTGTACATCGGTCTCCTTTTGACAAAGTAGGTGAGCTGTGTCCAGGCCGTTGGTGTTTATGCCGGTCGGCGTAGCCAGGTATGGATTAAAATTTTTTGGTGGCGGCGAAGCCGCCACCCTACGAGAAGTCTTTGCTTTGTCTTCTTGTTGTCACGGCATTAATATTAATTGTTCATGTATGTGAAATTTGCTTCTATGGTTTATAAAATACTACTGCTAGTAAATGAAAACAAACAAGACGCATTCACACAAACATACCCACCACCTCAATTACAAATCATTAGTGTTGTCTCCGATACGCGAGTGTATTTTGGGGCAATTGATTTTTGAAATATATCCTGACAGGCAGACTTAATTGTTTTAAACAGAAAACAAAATCTTCAGTTTCTTCTTTGCTGCAAACCGGTAGCTCAAAAACATGAAACACTCGATCTAAAAACATAATACTACTTATTTAATGCACATTTTTAAAATTATTACCGACTGCTGCATACTGGCCATTTATTAATTTTTACTGACCATTTGTAGAATTATTACCGGCTAATTCATACTGACATTTCATTAATTTTTACTGACTATTATAGTTACAAAAGTGAACATAGAAATACAGGCCAAATAATAATTTTACTGCTCCAAAATTCATTGTTGACTCATCATATTTTATAAAAGTACTGAGTCTTTTACAATATTTTACTGACTGCTTGTAATATTTATAGTGTACATAATCAATTATATAATGTTCAGTTAATTTGAACCCTATAAAATATTTTGCTGAATATCCGAATTCTTCTATATCCTGCGATATAGACGGACATTTGGTTGGATATTCATATTGGATATCCACAGAATATATTCTGTGGATATCTCTGGGAAGGTACTCATTAGATATTTTGCTGGATACCCATATGATATCTTCTATATTCTGGATATAGATGGACATTTGGATATCCATATTAGATCCACGGAATATTTCTGATATCCTGTGGATATATTGGATATCCACAAAAGATATTCTGTGGACATTTCTGGGATTTGGTGTGTTGTCTGGGTAGGTGTGTGTCAAATAATATCATTTACTTTATGTACAGTATTTTGAGCTAAATTACTTTTGTTCATAAGTGTAAGTTTCTAATGGTATGAAAATAAATATTTCAGGATGCCGTTTCAATTCAGTAATGAAGAATATGCAGACATTATTTTTGTGTTCGGTTTTTGTAATGGAAACGGTAGAGCAGCAGTAATAGAGTATCGCAGACGCTTTCCTAATAGCTGATTACCAAATTCTAAACCATTTTTACAGGTTTTCGAGTTCAGTAAACAACATGGAAAGTTTTCAACTACAGTTAAACATGAACATGTTCCGAGAAATAATCTTCGACAAGAAGAGGAGATACTACAGATAGTTCGAAATAATCCTTCTATCAGTGTAAGAAAAATTAGTAATGAATTAGCAGTACCGATAACAAGGGTATGGAAAACTATAAAAAAAGAAAATTTGCATTCATTTTATGTACAAAAAATACAGCGACTTAAACACGGAGACGACGTACCCTGCTTATCTTTTTGTAGATGGAATTTGGCCCACAGAAGGACAATATCGAGAATTTTATTTACTGATGAATCCCAATTTACACGTGATGGGATCAATAACACTAGGAATGGTCATATTTGGGCAACTGAAAATCCTCACACTGTATCACAAAAACATTCCCAATATAGATTTTCTATAAATGTATAGTGTATTTATAAAAATCATTTAATAGGCCCTCATGTTTTTGAAGGCAGATTAACAGCTGAAGTTTATTTAAATTTCCTTAGAGACATCCTGCCAAATTTGTTAGAAGGGATTAATACCAGGTGGTTTCAACATGCTGGACCTCATTTTCAAATATTGATCATAGACCATTTAAATCATCGTTTCCAATATAGATGGATAAGTTAAGGTGGCCCCGTCAATTGGTCACCAAGATCTCCAGATCTAACACCTCTGGATTATTTTTTATGAGGCTACCTTAAATCAAAAGTGTACAACGAAGAAATGAATACCCGAGCACAGTTTTTGAAAATAAACCAGAAATAATTGTCAAATCAGTAAAAAACATTCGTAGAGGTGTATTGACATTCACGGTGTTCATTTTGAAAATCTACTTTAGTTTTAATTGTTTCCGTTAGTTTGTTCTGTTACTTTATCAAATAAAGTGAACCCGGTCCTGTGTAGATGTACAATTTCTTATTGGAAAATGCAGTAATTAAAAATAAATGAAGATGGTACCCAATTTGTGTAGAGAATACAGAGTAAAATATTTCAATTTTGTAAATAACGATTTATAATACTGTAGTCGCCATTATAAAAATTTACTGTAAGAAAATCAAGATGGTGTCATTAAATATTATTACAATATTTTATTTATTGATCAACGTACTATTTAAATGTGCAGTAAGATTTATTAAAAACCGATATACAGGGTGAAGAGCAATATTAACCTAAGAGAGTGTAACTTTTGTACAAAATTTTATCAAAATACCTCTAGCCGTTCAAACAAAATGGCCGACTTTAGTTTTTAAAAAAAAAACACCCTATATCTCAGAAAAGAGTGAGATTAAAGGCTAAGCATGGGAGTGTTTTGAACTCAGATAAATGTACTCTACCTCCCATTAAGGTGTGTCCGTTTAAATCTGAAATACCCTGTATAGTAGTCTTTTTTACAAAGCAACTTTCAATTTATCCACATGTAAAACCTTATGGATGTACAATAGAGTTGGACGCTATTTTATGGACTGTTATTTAGTTATTTTAATCTTAGTAAACTGACATTCATTACATGTTTTTCCATAGAAAGATATTATAAAATATTTAATTTGTTAATGATATGAAGAAATATATCCTCATTAATTGTTGCCATTCAAACAGTCACATTATTTTAAAGGAAAGTGAGGTGAAAGTCGGTTTAAATCCGAAAAACTAAATGAAGATTTAGAAATTCTGAAAATGAAAAATCCCTAATTCCCCTACGAAATTATAAAAATTACGCGCTCATATTCCCAAAGTGAAAATAAACAAAAAAAAAAAAATGAAAAAGCTGAGAATTAAAGAAAAAACGCGTGAGAAGAGCCCGGGAGTCGAACCTAAAACATCGGACTTGGACCATCCGCGCAGTAACCAATTAGGCCACCTCACACATACGTATTGATGTCCGAATTCGTTAACTTGAAGTAATCAGATTCAGATTCTCATCGTTAACACAAATTCTCATTCCATCTCAGCTCTCTAAATTCTTCTCTAGCGACCCTTTAACATCGAATAGAAAGACAGTAATTTATAATTAAGTTAGAACTAAATATATAAGATATTTCATTCGTTCAACAGTGTTAAGTTTTCGAGTACGGTACGTAATAAACGTGAAAATAAAAGTGAAGTAAAAAAGTCGGTTTAGATTCGAAAAACTAAAAATTCTGAAAATGAAAAAATCCCTAATTTTCATATCATAATTTCTCAGATTACACCCTACAGAGAGAATTTTTATACCTCCAATAAATATTTTCCAAGTCCTTTTAATTTTGTCTATGTACGTTAGAATGCAGGGTAGGATTTACATTAATTACTCTTCTATATTGGGATGTTTTAAGGATTCAACATGTACATAATTAACTTAATAGGTGTATATTTCATGGCATCTAAACAAAGGTAACACTGTATTTTAAAAAACATCTATCCTATTTGAAATATGCGTACTTGCATATAATATGCAGCCGTAATCTATGATAGACCTTATTTATTTGAATTTACTAATGATTCAAAATTCGTCCAACTCTATTTTTTCTCTGAATTGACATTGGCGTTTCTATCTTTAAGGTTTTACACACTACTTAAAAATGCTTTGTGAACACGGATGTAAGAATATATGATTTTTTAAACGTACTACAACAATATTTTTATCTCCATCTCGAAGTACTACTACCGAGTGAAATACTAAACTAATTTAACCTAGCCAGTATTGAAATAGGGGGTTGTAAGTCACAAAAAAGTTCAAAAACACTAACATTAAAAAGGGACACACAAAATATTAGTTAATACAATTTTAGTACTAGATAATAAAAAAGTACTTACTTTTATATTAGATACCTGTTCCTCTTCTTCTGAGTGCACTTCTTCTGCTATAAAGTAGAATAATAGATATAAGTAAAGTCTTTATATGATTTTTTAACTTCGACCTTTTTAGACACATGAGACATGACAATTTATGAAAGAAAACAAAGTGTTTTATAAGATTTAAATCCAAGGTTATCAACATTTTTTCATGAAGTACTATTAGGGAACTTCGGCAACTAGTTAATGAATTGTCGCCTATTATGTAGTGCATCTTACTTACCACTGCCTGTAGGCCAAGATTTAACTAAAGTGGTTTTTAAGGAATCGAAAGTGGTATTAATAACTGTAGCGAAGTCAGCTTCTCGTCTAGTTTCCGATTCTGTTGAAATTGTGCTATCCTTTCTACCATATTCGGAAGTTTCACCTTTACTCTTATCTGCTTGCTCGGAAACGAGGCTAACCTGGAAGCGAGAGACTCTTCTTTCTCTCGTCGGTTGGGCTGTATCGCCACCGGTCGGAGGCTGAAAAGTCATATGTCAGTTTATAAACCTATGAGTTGTCGAATGTCAATTCAAAAAACTCGCATCGATTGTCGAATGTTATGTTAAATGTCACTTCTCTCAATTTATATTTTAATACCACAACGTGTATCCTTTTATTCAACTAGGGAAGGGTTGATTCATCAAAGGGGTTGCAACATAGACCCAGTAAATTAATGAAGGGGTCACTGAGGATAAAAAGGAAATAGTAGTCAGCTTAAGTTGGCAACTCCAAAGCCACGTCCAAGATGGAAGACTATGTCTCCATCCCCTTAGATTTACAAGCCCCGACTTCCGGGAGATATATTAATTGACAGGTCGTTGAAATTCCTGATTAGGCATTCCGAACAAAATGGCAGCCGAAGAGAAGGGTTGGCATATCTAAGGGGCTGTGACAAACGCTGTATTCTATCTTCAACACGTGAAATCCTGAATAATGGATAAAATTAAATATTTTATCCTAAAAAACTGCCCATTTTATTATGTCGAACACCAGGAAAATGTAATTTTCCTAAATACAAAAAAATATATAAAAATATACAATTTAAAATGTTCCGAAAACATTTTTTTTTTTTACCTTTGAACTATTCTGATTCTGTTCAATTATTGGCATTTGTTCGAGTTTAGAACTACAGAAAGAGCATTGCATGAACAGGAGACCGAAAACGACAAGGAACAAGCCAAAAAATACACAAGATAATAAGGAACAATTCAGTTTTCCTAGAAAATTCAGTTCCAACTTTCAGAAACTCGTCCGGGAGAAATCTAAAAAACTCTCACCCCCATAATTAACCAGTACCAAGTACTTACGGACGAATCCGACTCAGATATAGACGATGAAATCGGGAAAATCGTTAGGAAGCGAAAAAAGGGAGCAAAATTCAAGCCACTTAACCTGGATGACTTAACTCCGGCACCAATTACAAAAATCACACAGGAAAATGCGACCAAAGCCAACAGGGGATATATAAACAAAAATAAAAACAATATGCCACGCATTGTCATAGATGGCAAGACAGCAAACCACAAAGAACTAATAAATGACATAAAAAACAGTAGTTACCAACTATCGTCAAACGGCAGACTGCTCGGTGCAAAAATTCGAGGTAATTTACCTAGGGCACGATTCATACACCCACGCTATTTTTCGGCTAGTAGTGTATAAGCAACCATCCATCTGTGTTTTTTCAACGGTCACGTTGTGATTTTATAATTTATAACTTTTCTATTGCGCCAATGAGTATACACTTAACCCAGGAGTGTTCCGAACTTGATGTCGGAGCCCCCTGGGCCATCCAAAACTGTGTACAAAACACTATACGATAAGACTTCGCGAGCGGATAAACTCTACAAAACCGCCGGCAAATGCAGTGAATGTGACGCGAAATCGATCAACACCAAGCACCCCCAAGACTCTGAAGACATCCAGACATCAGCATCCATACAGAACAGTGAGTAATCAAGGGATCACCACTAACAAATCTAACCTAGGATCAACTGTCCAACACAGAGGAGACTCCACGTCAAAAAATTTTAGACAAAAAAGTTCGGAGAATGGTCAAGTGGTGAGGAAAGAACCGACAATTAACATGCCAGAAGAGAGCCCAACCGTAGAGGCCATAACGGGAAGCATCACCGAACGCTCAGCCCAAATATCTAGTGAAGAAAATAAATATTCAATCACAAAAGAAAGTTTGGAGAAGATGAGAACAACCCAAAAGTCGACAACGGGCCAGACAGAAAAAGTTCAGAGAAAATATACTTTGCGACATACAGTGATAGTACCGAACCGCAGGAAAGTTAAGAGACCACAGACGGCAACAACACGAGCGACTCATCTCACGGAAGCCTTGAGAAAAGTGACATCCCAAGAGTAGACCCAAACGAAAGTTTGGAGAATCTCATCAACGACCTAGAGGGCACTAACGAAGCAACAGCCCTGACAAACTAAATGATACCGTTCTAGTGATGGAGCAAGATGATGAAGGAAAAGAAGATTTTTAATATGCAAATAAAACCATCGAATTACCGAAACATGTGAAGGCTAGAGTACTGGACTTTGGTCAATATGCACCCTCATTTGACAAGGAGTTACTAAAACACCAAAAAATGAGTTAAGCGATTTAAATCTTTTAGAGGCGACCATCTGCCTGGTACCCATGAAAACCCCGGGAATCTACTAGAAGAAATGATTTTAAATTGCAATGTATATAGTTTAAAATAGAAATAAAAACGTTTTAATGAATGAATGATAGATATGACAACTGACAGCTGGATTGATAGAATTTAGGATTAATTATTTGTTAGAACATAAGAAAAACCGGAAAAAATAGTTTTTCTGAAAAACATACTTTCAAATTAAGGTACAGGTAAAGAATGCCCATGGATACCTGTATTAAAATAAAATATTTAACACATTTGTATTTAACAATCAACACAACAGAACTGACGTGTTATTTCTTTCAATGATCAACCACAAATTAAACGAAAAGGACACACGGATCACTTACAGGTATGTTTAAATTACCAACTAAGTTTTGACGTTTAACAAAATAATATTCAATATTAGCGATTAAAATTAATGAAGTATGTTAAATGCAAAATAATTATAAATATTTTGAGGAAACAAAGAAGATTAAGGTTAAATACAAGGGCAATATCAGCAAAATAAGCAAGTCATACTTTAAGCAAAGAGAAGTTTCAAATGTTAAGGTATATTCAAACAAAAGTATCGATTGGTCTTGAACTAATTAGGTTTAAGCTAATTCTTGTCGTAGACGTTTTCTACACAATTAAAATTTATTTTCTATTACACAAACGCTTAAAAACGAAAATACACATTATATTTTTGTATAGATTTAAGTTTTGTTTAGTGAAAGGAAACTACAGCAAGATTAGCTTTTACACATTTAGTTAAGGCCTAATTTTTTATTTTAGAGCCAACAAGGTTTTTGGCAAGCAAGTGGTTATAATTAAATTGTAGATTTTAATCATACACAATAATTTACTCGAGTTGCTTTTTGCATTCCAGTTGAATTAAACCAATTTTATTTAGGTTGTGTACAATCAAATCAAAATAACTTTCATTATTATATTCCTTAGTAAAATAGTATGTAGTTCTTTACAGCATTTTCGGTATTTACGTCAGACAGCTTTAAGTTACCAATCTTTTATGAAATAGTGAAATAAGACATACAAATGCAAGACTGGAAGCTTAACAACAAACATCTGAGCGTAAAGTCACAGCTTATTCCATACCAGCTACTTATCTTGGTATAAAATGAAAAGTTCGTGCAACCTGCCGTGCATTTGGCCTAACGTGTTACTTTATTTATGGTCGAGATCGTGATTTCATGAGTACTAGTAGTCGCAGGAGCGTATTCAGTAAAATTAGACATGTTAAATTTTAAAATATGGCTGAAATTATATTATGTTGTGTGACGAAGTCACTAAATTTTAATTAAAGTTTAATTATAAAAATGTAGTTTAAGTTAATTTCCGCCATATTTTTATTTATAAATTTTTTTGAACATTTGCGACATCCCCCTCTGCAGGTTTCCGTCTGTACATAAATATTCTGAAGATTCAATTATACTGCTAATTGAGTTAGAATTTTCGAATTATTAAGAGCATCCGTCTTTCCGCTTTATATTTATTACCTTAGTTTTACTATTATTTGTGGGTGTAATTTGTTGTAAATAAAGACCATTATTATTTGGGTTTAATATTGCCCAACCGTGGTCACTGTTGGTTTGAAATATAATTTTCTGTATTTCTTTTAACTATACCCCCTTTTATCTTGCTCGTCTAGAATCACCACGATTACCATTTAGATTTAGCGAGGTGGTTATTATTTATTTCAGGCACTATCCCATAAGTGATCGCCTGGAATTACTTACTCCACTGGGGCTACTTTGAGTGCACTCTAGGTGTACTCGAAGGCCTTGTTCTAGAATCTAGATAACAGCCTGGCGCCACCCACGACTTCCACTTTCACGCAAGTGATTCAAGAAGTCGTGTCACTGAATTAAAAAAAGATGATTAAATAAAATTTTGAAAAAGTCAACTTTATTTTTCTATATTAATTTTTATTTGGTCTTCTACCCATCATTGCATGCGTGCTTTCAGTAAGTCGTAGTGCGGCAAAAACAATTCGAACATTTGTAGTGATAGTTTTATTTTATATTTCCGAGAGATGTGAATATGTATTTATTTTTACTAAATATTACATTGTTTTTTTTAGTGGGGTTCGGCAGCAATTGAGATGTAATGTAAATTCAACGCATATCCAATTTATTTGTTTGGATGTAATGTAATCAGATAATACTACTGCAATTTTGTTAAAAATGTCAGAATGACCACTAAATGTTGAAGACCGGTTTTGTAGTGATTATAAAATGCCTTGAGAAAAAATGTAAACTCTCCGCCGGAGGTTGAGGCGGGATAATCTATCCGGTCGCAACTTTACGGGTCCTCGCTTTGCCGCAGCGGAGGGGCTTACAGTTTAAGGATATGATCCTACGGCCAAAGGCACAGGTATATATATGCCATGCCTTTGGAAGTAGGAGCCATTGAAAACTAACCAAGAAGGACGAACGAACGCCAGGTTTAATCTAAGGTGTCAGTAAACCGTGCCGAGGGATGAATAGCAGCTGTGCCTGCATCGAAACAGCTGTGTCAAACGGTACCTCGGGATACCGGCCGCCCTCCTGAGTAAGTAGGCTTGCCCGTCTAAGGCGGGGCTCTGGACGGGTTGACGTATCTTTCCCCAGCTACTCGTGGGAACAATATGGACCTAGAAAACAAAAAAACCAACTCAGAAACTTCTACTGCTGAACAGGCAAATGTGCCACCAGCAGTAGTCGAACAAGAGCAATCTCAGGCAGAAGTGCCAGAGACAACGAAACAGGCCACGGAAGTTGACCAGGCAAATGTCCCATCAACATCTAAAAGGCCCAAATCCAGAAGGGTCACCTCTGAAG